TGCTGTTTCCGATCAAGAGCAGTTTGAACATGTAGTCAAAGTTCTGGTCGGCAGCATCCCTCGGGCTGGCAGGGGGCTCGCTAGCGGATGCCATCCTGGTGGGATCTGCTCGGAGGAGAGACGTCCCGATGTGAAAGGGGAATCTTGAAAGGGTTAGGTGCCAACAACCGAGCCTGTGGGCCTATTTGGGCTCAGGAATTGGTTCTTCCAACATGTGGATCTGGGATTACACTCAGGTCATCAGGCTGGGCAGCAACTGCCTTGTCCTGCAAAACCATCCCTAGACCTAGTTTTATGTGTTTGTTTGTTTCTCTATCTATTTATTTAAGAGGCAAGGTCTCACTGTAGAACCTAGTCTGGTCTCCCGCTCCTGCCTCTACAGCCAAGTGTACGGGGTTGACAGGTATGTAGCTGTACCTTGGGGCTGTGGTTACAGGCGGTCTGCCTGACCTGGGCTCTAAGAATCTAAGCCAGGTCCTCTGAAAGAGCTGCTCTTAACAGCTGAGCCATCACCCCACAACTCCTCCTCCTCTTCTGTTTCATTCTTTTAGAGAAGGTTTCCTGCTGCTCAGGCTAGCCTCAAGCGCTCTCTGTGGTGGAGGAGGACCTCAACACTTCTGGTCCCTGCCTCTGGAGCTGGGCTTACAGGTGTGCATCGCTAGGCTCTTCTTAGCGATTGTTGTTATGTTCTGCTGAGCCCTTCTCCACACCAGCGCTGGCCTCTGAAGAGACACAGCTGTGCACAACACAAACACTCACCTTTTCAGGGGAGCCGCTGTGGAAGGGCTGTGGCCGCTGCTTAATCGGTTCACCAAGGTGAAGCTGAGGGCTGGGATGACTCAGGAGAGCCTGCTCACCTTGAGGTTCCAGCCCCAGCACTCAGTAAACCTGGTGTGCTATGCACACCTGCAACTCCAGCGCCAGGGAGCAGAGACAGAAGCATCAGGACTTCAGGCTTGTCCTGTGCTACCCTGGAGGTTTGGTATCAAACTGGGCTACGTTAAGAACCTGCCTCCAAAAAAAAAAAAAAGCAAAAGTGAGCCTTTATAGTGAAAGGTTCTCATCTCCTGCCTTGAGGCGCAGAAGCCAGGTAACAGGTGAAAATTCAGGGCCATTTGGGGGGGGGGGGTGTTTGTGAGGAAGTCGCACGGGCTGCAGGCTGGACTTTGCCCAGCGAAAGCAGCTGGTATGGCCAGGTGTGAGCTGGAGGAGGGGTGATTGCCAGCTAGACAGAGCACCCTCCATCAGGGCCTGGGTGTTGACTTTAGCTGGTGCCTGCCACTGGGGTGCCTGTCCTCTCTCCTCCAAGTCCACTTAACCCTGTGTCTGTCCCTCTCCCCAAGGGTAAGGGGAATTTCTACAAACACAGCATGGTTTAAAAGGTCCAGAACGGCTCCCAAGTGGGTACCTGCCGTTTTATTTGTCAAAGGGGCCGGGCCTGGCTCCCTCTTGGCCAAAGCTGACTCACCCAAGCCATGGCCCACACAGACAGGAATGGACGTCATCAAATCCAAGGGAACTATCCCAACCACTCAATGATCACAAATCCCACCACCCCATGGCCTGCTGTTCCTATCTGCCCACGCCCCAGCATGCTTCTTCATCCTAATCTAGGCTGCCCTTCCAAGCTCCCCTGGGTTCAGCTTCTCCAGCTGTCTAGAGTCGCTCTCTGAAGCCCAAGCAAAACTATTTCTCAACGGCTTTCGGTGTTTTCTGTTTCTCTGCCCCGTGCATTTCCAAGGAGAACGCAGCCAACCCCACCCTGTGTTCCGGGAGAACGGGTTTGAGGAGGGACCGCAACGCGTCCTCGGGCAGGGCCTCCAGGCTGGCCCCCGCCCCACCACCGCCCCTCTTCAGGGCCGTCTAGGGGTCCCCAGCCCTCAAGGCTGGCATCCGAGCTGTCACTGCACCAGCAGGTGCCTCCCCCATCACCATATGGCACCCTCGCTCGCCCGCGGCTGGGCTCCTGGCCCACCCCGCCACCGCTCGCGGAACCAGCCGGGGGCGGGGAACCCAGAGGAGCCAGGAGCGCCGACTGGGGTGCGGGACCCAGTCTCGCGCGGACCCCTGCTCAACCCTGTCATAGCGCACGCGCGAACCGGCGGGCTGGCCGGCGCGCCCGCTCCTGGGCTCACCTCGGGTCCCGCCTCGCACACAAGGATCCGCCCACGAAGTCGCTGCGGTCCCCACTCGGCCGCGACCCCCGCCCCGCAGCTGCGGCCGCCAGCACCGACACCCGGATCCAGCGCCGGCTCCGCCCAGGCGGAGGGCGAGGCCGCAGCGAGGCGCGGGTGAGGCTAGGAGGGGCGGGGCCGTCCTGAGAGTCGGCGTCGGAGGTGGGCGTGGTCCTGCGGGCGGGGCGCCAGGAGTGGGCGGGGCCTGTCGGGACCCGGGCGCCGCAGGAGTCCCAGCGGAGCGGGCGAGGCCTTGCAGGCGGGGTTGGGGCAGGACTACCCCAAGGGGTGAGGGGGTGGGCGGGGGTCGTGGGGGTGGGGCCTAGTGGTGGAGGGCCCCGGGAGGGAGGGGAGATGGGACCGGAGTCCAGCGAGGGGCCAGGCTGAGCACTGGGCGGGGCATATATGTGGAAGGGCTGTCCCCGAAGGTGGAGCCTCGCCGTAGAGGGAGAGGTCGAGAGCCCGTCGGTTGAGCACGCGGTGGGCGGGCGTAAGAGACGGGGTGGGGAGGGTGTCTGGGGGTGGGCTTGACAGGAGAAGGAGCTGGAGCCCAGAGGAGCGGAAAGCGGCTTTAAGTCCCACTATAGCCTCTGTGGGCATCAGGAGCACTTCGGCAGCTGAGCTCCAATCCCACCTCCCCTTTCTAGGACTGCGACATATTTAACCTCTCTGCCGCGTGGTTCTTAACAAGATTTGTGTAACCATGTTTTGTTTTTGTTTTTTAATTATTTGGGGTTGGGAGGAGGCTAGAGACATGGCTCGGCGGCTAGAAGCACCCGTTCTTGCCTAGGATCTGGGTTTGAGTCTCAGCACCCTCACGGTGGCTCACAACTACCCATAACCAGGATCCTGACCGCATCAAGCAGCAAGAACCCTCGTGGTGCAGACACAAAGGCAGGCAAAACACTCATGTAAACTAAAAGTTTTACATCTAAAAACATTTTCATATATATATTGTTTGTTTTTATTTTTTGAGACAAGGTCTCATTGGGTAGCCGCTTGCCTCAAAGGTCGAGGCATGCAAAACCATGCCCGGGGAAGGAGGCCAAGGTTTCTGAAATAAGCAAGCACTCTGCCCTCCCAGGCCATTTGCTGTTCAGCATTGGGGGCTTCATGAATGTTCAGGCACACTGCCTGTCCAACGTGGGAGGGTTCTAAGCGCCTGGCCCTAAAGGGTGCTGGACTCCATTGCTCAGTACTCTTAAGGGCTCTTGGGAATAAAACGTGCTTTAGAAATAAGGAAAGTGAGGATCAAAGAAAGGCAGATATTTGCCCGAGGCCACACAGCAATATTTGGAACTCAAAATCATAGAGAGGGGCCGTCAAAATGGATGAGTGGGAAAGGTACTTGTCAGTAAGCCTGATAAGGCTGCAGGGGCCAACAGGGTGGATTTGATCCCAGGGACTGACAGTGGTAGAAGGACCAATTCCCACAAGTTGTCTTCTGAACCTACACACACACACACACACACACACACACACACACACTAAATAAACAAATGTAAAAGAAACCAAACAGGGGCTGGAGAGATGGCTCAGAGGTTAAGAGCACTGGCTGTTCTTCCAAAGGTCCTGAATTCAACTCCCGGCAGGCAACCACATGGTGGCTCATAACCATCCGTAGTGAGATCTGCTGCCCTCTTCTGGCCTTCTGGCTCACACTCAGGAAGAATACTGTATAAATAATAAATAAATTCTTAAAAAAAGAAAGAAAGAAAGAAAGAAAGAAAGAGAGAGAGAGAGAGAGAGAGAGAGAGAAAGAAAGAAAGAAAGAAAGAAAAGAAAGAAAGAAAAAGAAACCAAACATATCTAGTCATGGTGGCTTACACGTGTAACCCTAGCCTTTGGGAGATAGAGGAAGGCAGAGGATCAGGAGTTCAAGGTCATTCTCAGGTAAGTAGGAAATTCAAGACCAGCCTGGCTATATGAGACCTCAAAAGGGGCGTGGGGGGGGATGTGCGCGCTCACGAGCACTTGTGTGCCTGGGAGTGCACATACAGACACACACATGCACAGGTGAGATGGAGTGCACCTATACTTGGGAAGCTGAGGCAGGAGGACAGCCATGAATCTGAGGCTGGCCTGGGTCACATAGCAGGTTTCAAGTCAGACTGGCTACGTATTAAGGACCTGTCACAAAACAAAAATACAGAGATTGCTGTGGTGGCTCACATCTGTAATCTTAGCACATGAAAGGCGGAGGCAGGAGGATTGTCATGAGTTTCAGGTCAACTTGGGCCACAGAATTCCAGGTCAGCCTGAGCTAGAGACCCTGCCTCAAAACACAGACACACACACACACAGCAACCAAAACTTCTCTACTCTCCCAGATGCCCATACATGAATTGTGCAGGAGTGCGTTAGTTAGGAATAGCCGAGTCATTCTCAGAAACAAGCAGCCGCATAGTCCAGATCATTCACCTAGGTTCCTGTGTCAGGAAGGATGCTGCAAACTAAGGAGAGATGAAGCCCGCTCTGTCCGGTAAACACTTCCGGTAAAGACACGCCACTTCTGCTCACGTCTCATCAGCCAAAGCTGATGCCCCTTCCCGCTGTGTCGGTAGGATAAGAAACAGGACTGTGCCTGAGACGGGACTCGGCTGTTGCCATAGCAACACATAGTAAGGGCAGTGGTTAGAACCAAGCCAGGCATTCGGCAGGAACTCAGTAAATGGTCATCACTGCAATAGCTCACACTCCCATCTGTCATGCCCCAGGAAAGGGGAACCTTTGGCTGAGTGCCATAGTAGCATGCACATCCATCCATACATGTACACACACACACATCTGGCCTCTCCTGGGGTGGAAAAAATGATCACAACCATCTCCAAAGAAGCATTTATTGCCACAAGGGCCTGTGTTAGAGGCTCTTGAGTCCCAGGGCAAGACTAGCAAGGCAGAACCCATTGCTCAGCAGGCAGCCCAGGTTGCAGAGGGAAGACAGGCCGTGGTAGTGGAAAAATTTCTGGCGGAGAGCACTGTACTTGGGGTCCTTCTCCCGAAGCTGGCGGTAGGGGTCGGGACCCTGGTGTCTGCCGGGCACCTCTGACCCCAGGCCTCGCTCTTTCTCCACGGTCTGCAGGGCCCACATGACGGCAGTGGTGCGGGGCTCCAGCCAGCGGGCATTGATGGTGGCCAGCGTGAGGCTCAGGAGCAGTAGGGCGAGCTGAGGATAGCGACAGGAAGGCAAGGTGAGGGGCCTGAAGGGCTGGCGGGAGGGGCCTAGGAGAGCAGGTGCCTGCCTCCTCACAGCCTAGAGAACTCTCTGCAAACAGCCGGCCTTGAGAAAGTACCCACCCACAGTTTTCTCTTCTGCTCCCTGGGCCCCAGGACACCCTCTGCTCTCCTACAGCTCCCCAAACACCAAAACCTCTTCTTCAAAACAAAACTTGTATTTTTTGTTTTAATGAGAATTCATTCTCGGGTCTCAGTCGCAACGTAAGTATCCTACCACGGAGCTATATACCCAGCCCTCTTTTCACTTCTGTGCATATGTGGTATATGTACTTGTTCATATATGCGCATGTGTGTGTGTGTGTGTGTTTTTGTGGAGGCCAGAAGCCGCCTTTGTTTGGGCTTTCAACCTCCTCCTCAATTTATTGAGTCGACGTGTGTGTGTGTGTGTGTGTGTGTGTGTGTGTGTGTGTGTGTGTGTGATGCCATATAGCGTGTATGTGCAGACTGGAGTACAACTGGAGGGAATCATGTCTCTTCTACCGTGGAGACCCTCAGGGATCCAACTCAGACTGTCATCAGGCTTGGCAAGAGCCTCTGCTTGCTAAACCATCCCCCTGAGTTTTTGAGAGCGGCTCTCCCTGATCCCGGAACTCCCTCACTCAGCCAGGCTGACGCCCACCCCTCCCCGCGTAGGGTAACACCTCTGTGTCTGATGCTTGAATGGCTCCTGGGGATTCCAGCTCAGGTCCTCGTGTCTGAACAGCAGGCGTTCTGCCCAAGTCATCCCCCAGCCTCCTCTCCTTTCACTTGGAGACAAGGTCTCACTACGTTGCCTGCGCTGGAGCAGATGGCACTATACAGCCAAGACTGGCCATACATACGCTGGCAATCCTCCAGCTCAGGCTTCCCAAACAGCTGGAATGACAGGCTTGCCCATCCTCTCTCCCCGAAATCAAGACAGAGAGCACTAGCTGTTCCTTCATTCTCCCTGCCCAAAAGCACACAGCCGAACACAAGCCCATGTCTTCTGTGGTCCTACCTCAGACCCAAGGAGCTGATACTAGGCCAACAGGAAATGAATTAGACACCTGGGGAATACCGTTACCCGGGTATCCCTCTCTGATCTCTAAGATTATTCTTTTGGAGGAAGCATGTTAGACAGCATCTCTGTAGCTCGGGCTGGTGTCAAATTCCCTATGTAACTAACCTTGGCCATATGTAGAACAGGCAGGCCTTGAACTCACAAATTCTTCTTTCTTTGCCTCAAGAATGCTGGGACTAAAGGTCCTAACCACTATACCTGGCTTGTTTTTGTTTGATACAGTCTTGCTATGTGGCCCAGGCTAGCCCAGAACTTGTGCAATCTCCTTGGCTCATCCTCCCACATCCTGGGGTGACAGGTATGTGTGTGTGTGTGTGTGTATGCGTGTGCCTGTGCATGTGTGTGTGTACGCACACATACGCACCACCACACTGGGCTGAGAGATTCCTCTTGAAACACCTGCGAGGCCTCACCTGCCCACTTCTGAAAACTTGAAGAGCAGAGGGAGGGAAGGGAGGGGAAATCTGAGCCGAAAAGATTGCTCTCTACATGTGGCTGAGGGGATTTGTAGGTGGAAGAGGGAAAACCTAAATTCCCAGTCTGTCTGGTTTTTAAGCCGAGAACTGAGGTCGGCACCTCCACTCAGCTGAGTCACTGCAGTTTGGCAGGGGCCCAGCTATTGGGCAGAGAGGAAATAGGAGCCAACAGGGAAGATAAGGCTGGACAGAGGGGACTGCTGGGGGCACCTGAGCAACCGTTCAAGGACACCCAGTGACCAGCTGTGTCTCCACCGGGAATAAGAGGCCGTGTCTTTGTCCCTCGATCTGGCTGTGGGGACACGGAGCAGTAGGACATCCTGAGGTGGAGGCAGGAGAATCACACGTTTGGGCTAGCCTGAGCTATACCTTGGGGGATGCAGAGATGGCTCAGCAGTTAAGGCAGCATACTGCTCTTGCAGAGGAGTGAGTTCAGTTGCTAGCACCCACTTTGGGCAGCTCACAGCTGCCTGTAACTACAGTTCTAGGGGGGTTGTTACCTCTGGCCTCTGAGGGCACCGACACATGTATACACACGCCTACACGCAGACTTGAATGAAGATGATAAAAGCCAAGCAATGGCGGCGCACGCCTTTGGTCCCAGCACTGGGGAGGCAGAGGCAGGCTGATCTCTGAGTGACAGCCAAGGATACATAAAGAAACCCCGTTTCAAAGAAAATAACAAAAATAAATCTTATAAAAAATGTTTCACTGGAGGGTAGCTGAGTTGGTAGGGTACCTGTCTGGCATACGCGGAGCCTTGGGCTTGATTTCCAACACTTCCTAAAACTAGGTGTGGTAGAACATGCCTGTGACTTCAGGAGGCAGGAGGATCAGAAGTTCAAACTCATCTTCCACAAAGACCCTGTCTCAAAACAATGACAGGACAGGACTATCCATGTAGGCCAGGAAGACATGCCTGTGGAGCGCACGCCATGCGTGTGCAAGGCCCTAGGTCTCTCCCCCTGCACTATGAAAAACAGCACCAAATAAGGGAAGATGTAGTCAGTAAAGGGTTTGCTATGCAGGCACGAGGACCGGAGTTCAATCCCTCGACACCCATGTCAAAAAGCCAGCATGGTGGCTCAGTGTCACTGAGTGAGTCATCTCACTGCTGGGGAGACAAAGAGAAAAGGATCCCGGGAGATTGGCAGTCAGCTTGTCTGACCAAATCGGTGAGCTTCAGGTCCAATGAGAGACCTGTCACCAAAAAAATAAATAAGCCAGGTGAGGTGGTGCACGCCTTTAATCCCAGCAGTTGGCAGGCAGAGAGGCAGGTGAGTCTGAGGCCAGCCTGGTCTATATAGTTTCAGAACAGCCAGGGCTGTATAGAGAGACCCTGTCTCAAAAGAACAAAAATAAATAAATAAGCCCCCGATATATGGGGGGCTGGAGAGGGGGCTCAGTGGTTAAGAGCACTGGCTGCTCTTCCAAAAGACCGGGGGTTCAATTCCCAGCACCCACACGGCAGCTAACAACTGTCTGTAACTCCAGTTCCAGGGAGTCTGACACACTCACACACACACACACACACACACACACACACACACACACACAGGCAGAACACCAATGTACATGAACACAATATATGTGTGCGTTTGAGGAGGATGCCTGACATCGACCCCTGGTCTCTACACCTGACTGTGTACATGTGCACGTGTTTGTACACATCCAAACACACACACACACACACACACACACACACACACACACACACACCTAACACGAAGTCTCCGTAAGTGCTCACTGGAGTCTTGGGGACAAATCTTCAGAAGTGTGATCCTCAAGTCTCATACCTGACTGATTTCCCAAAGCGTGAGGTGGATCCAGGCTCTCTGTGGAGCCAAGATGCAGAGGTTGACGAAGGCACACCCCAAGGAGACGTGAAAGTAGATCGGGAAGAGGGTGCCCTGCACGAGCCCAAAGGTGTGCCGAGGCAGGCTCCGGAAAAGCAGGAAGCCTGGGAGACGGAGGGCCACAAACACCGGTTAGGACACTTTCAAATGCCCCCCATTCAGGGCTCACCCTAACAACAGGCAGGAGGGTCCCTACCTGAGGCAAAGGTCACCCACATCTGCATGCCCCAGGCACCAGACAAGACCAGCAAGTGGACCACTTTAATCAGGCTTCCTGGATCCTCACCTTTCTCCATCCTGTGTCCCTGGGGAGGAGGCAGCAGTGACTCAGCTTAACCTTCAACCTTTGCCCCCTAGCTCGGAGGCCCTGGTGCAGAGTGCTTAGGGCCAGCCTCACACTGGTGCAAAGATTTGAGAAAACAGTCTGGAAACAGCAGTTGGAAGACTAAAGCAGCCTCTGGACAGGCTCAGCCTCGGGGCTGGAATTGTGGCTTTGAGGTTGGGGACTTGGTTGGTGTGGGCCTCACATCCCGTAAACATACTTGCAAAACAACAGTTAAGAGCAATATCATAAAAAAAATAATCTCAGCCCGGTGTGGAGGCTCCTACCTGTAAATCCCCAGCACTTGGAAAACTGGGACAGGGGGATTGCCACTTTCCTAGCTCAAGGCTAGAAAGAGACTCCTCCATTCCAAAAAGCATTTAAAAACAGAGACTGGCCCAGTGTAATCCCAACGTACAGGAAGATGCAGGAAAATCACTGAGTTAGAGGACAGCCTGAGAGCCAGCGAGACTATCTCAAAATAAACAAATAAACATCTTCTCAGGCTCCAGCCGGGGTAGTGACTCAGCGGGCATAGCACCTGCCTGCCTCACGTGCAGGAGGCCCTGAGTTCCATGTCCAGTTCTGCAAAGACAGCCCTCATTCCAGCACTGAAGTACAGACAGAAGGGTCAGGAGTTGAAGGCCAACCTGAGATATACGAGGCCTTGTCTCAAAAACAAACAAACCAATTTCTAGAGCAAAAAGATCTCAGGCCCCCCCCTTTAGACCCCAATATCCATTGCACCTTATAGAACCCCAAAAGCCTGTGTCCCAGCAGGTTAAGTTCGGATTCCTAGGTCTTCAGGGATTACCCTGGCTCTGCAGACTGCCAAGAGCCCTCATCCGTAAACCAGAGATATACCAGGGACATTCCAAAGCACCCCCGCGACCCCCCTCTGACCCCACCGTTGGAGCACCCGAGGTCAGGCGTCAGGACCACGAACCCGAAGCCGGGCACCTCCTGTGCGGCTCGCGCTCGCCTGAGACCTCCCAGGTTTTCTTCCGCCCCGCAGGCCTCGCCCCACCTCCCAGACAGCCGAAGCCAATAGGATCACAGATCTAGCTCCTCTGGGCTCGCCCACTTAGGGATTGCTCAGTTGGCTTGCAGAAATCATCTTGCCGTCCCGCCTCTCCGAACTTCATCCAGTCACACCGAAGATGCCCAGGAGCCAATGAGCTCCGTTCCTGCAGGGGCGTGCGCGGGTGTGGCTTAGGGGAAGACCACGCCCTTCTCTGTGACTCCACCTTCGGCCTCTCTTGTGTTTTCCAGTGATGGTGTCCTCAGGGCATCAGAACTTCGCGTCACAGCTGGGGTCTGGCTTCGAGGTCCTTGATGGGAGAGCATGAACAGGTGGTATGTGGTAGGTAGGGTTGGAAAAGGGGGTCGAGAGACTGGCGGAGATTGACAGATCGAGGGGCGGGGCTAATAGCGATGGTCACGCCCCCTCGGTAGGGGCAATCTCCGGAGAAGGGGATGTCAGAAGATTGAATCGAGGTTGTGGGAGGGCAGGCACGGTTGGTGATCTCCCTGTGGTGGAGCTCTGAAATGACTGTCTCCTTTCCCCCTGTAATCTTCCAGGGCATCTGTGGTCCTCAGGTAACATCCTAGAACAAATTCTCCTTTACCGAGTAGTGGACTAAGTCTGTGTAATCAGGACGGCCTAATAAAGTGGATATGATTTTTTTTTCCCCAAACAGATTCTCACTGTGTAGCCCTGGTTGGTCTGGAACTAGCTGTATAGACCAGGCTGGCCTGAAATTCAGGGATCCCCTGAGTGCTTGGGATTAAAAGGGGTGAACCCCCACACCCTGCCCTTTATGTGGTTTTGTTGTTGTTGTTTCAGATTTTAGGATTTTGTTTTATGCATATTCATGTTTTGCCTGTATGTATGACTGTGCGCTGCTTTCATGCCCGGTGCCCGCAGAGGTCAGAAGAGGGCATCAGACCCTGTGGGACTGGAGTTACAGAAGGCTGTGAGCCGCCACATAGGTGCTGGGTACTGTGGAAGAGCAGCAGCTGAACCACCAACTCTGAAGCAGCCTGGCCTCCAGCCCCTGGGGACCTGGCTGCGGCTGCCTCCGGAGCGCTGAATCCCAGCTCCCAGGCGTGGCACTGCTTCATGAGTTCCCTTGTTAAGATAAAACTTTATTTGTTCTTATGTGTGCATGAGGTATGTCTTAAGTGTGCACATGTCATGGCACACATGTGTGGAGTTGGTTCTCTCCGCCCACTTTTAACTTGGTTCCTGGGGACCCAATTCATGTCGTCGGGCTCGGCAGCAAGTCCTTCACTCAGGGAGCCCTCTGTCCGGCCCTTCCAGTCCTTAATGCCTGGTTCTCATAACCCAGCCCCACCTCTGTGTTTGGACTGATCTCTCATCTGGCTCCCGCTTCTGCCAGCACTGAGAAGACTCCTGGGCAGCACCATCTCTGAGGGGTCTCTTTGGGGATACTTGCAGAGGGTTAGGAGGCTGGGGCTGGTTCTCAGTTGGTGGAGCATGTTCCCAGCTTGCAGCTGGTTTCCATCCCTCTGTACAAACCGGATGTGGTGACACACACCTCTCATCCTAGCCCTAGGGAGGTAAAAGCTGGAGGATCAGGAGTTCAAGGTCATCCTTGGCTACGTAATGAATTGGAGGCCAGCCTGGGCTACATGAGACTCTGTCTCAAAATAATAAACAACTAAAAATGAAAGGATTGGGACTTAGGGACTCAGAGCCCTTCCCATCCCCCTGTCTGCAGTGACCCTCTTTTGGCCGGCCTACCCCGAGACCCTGACTACTGTGTATCTCACTTCTGCCTACATCCCTCACTGTCTGTCACATGTTGGCCTGACAACGAGCAGGAGCAGGGCAAGTACCGGTGTTCTTGGAGGGCTCGGTAGACAGGCGGAGGGCTGGGAGGGGCTGGCCGCTGCAAGCCTGCTGTCACTTGTCCCTGAAGGAAAGCTTCTTCCCCCTAGGGTCCTCCTCAGAGAAGGCTTTGGACTGTATGACCCACTTCTCCAGGAGCTTGGAATCTGAGGGTGTGAGCACTGCTTCTGAACAGGCAGCGAGGAAGAGTGTGGGCTGGCCGGCGGAGTGGGACTCAGAACCTCAGCCTCATGAGGGTACAGCCTGCCCCAACTCAGACCAGTACAAGGAGCGTTGTCATGACCAAGACCTTGTGAAGAGGAGTCACAACCCAGCCAAGGTTGCCTCCCTTAGGGAACCCTCACTGAGCTAGGAATGCACTTGCTGTGTGTATCCCTGTGGAGTTCAGGGAAGGGTCCCCTGCACTCCATATATGTATGTGTGTGTGTGTGTGTGTGTGTGTGTGTGTGTATACACACCTCCTCATATATATACATGTGTGTACATATGGGTATGCACATTAGTGCACGATGTCTATGGAGGACAGAAGAGGGCATCAGATCCCCTGGAGCTGGAGTTTTAAGTGGTTGTGGGCCACCCAGCCTGGATGCTGGGAGCCAAACTTCAGTCCCCTGCAAGGGCAGTGCAGTGAGCTCTCTCTTCACACATGAGACGTCTGACTTTGCGAGCTGTTTGCTTGGTGCTCGTTGTTTCTGTATCTCTGTGGTGTCTGATTGGGAGTGTGAGACTCATACTTGCGTCTAAAATTGTGCGTCTGTTGCGTGTATGGCCGAGTGTGTTTGACAACAGCGTGTGGCTGGGGTGGTGCTGGCGGCTACCTTTAATCCCAGCACTCAGGAGGCAGGGACAGCTAGATCTCTGTGAGTTCAAGGCCAGCCTGGTCTACAGAATAAGTCTGAGGACAGCCAGGACTACACAAAGAAACCCTGCCTTGAAACAAAACAGTACAAGCAAGCACAGGTCGTGGTGGGGTGTCCACCATAGACATCACATCACTGGTGTCCTGCGCTCCCAAGGAGAAAGGTCAAATGAGGGCCAGCCTGGCAGCTGCTTCCTCTCGGGGTCAATCCAGAGGCCCACAGATGTGAGATGAGGCACACAAGTGTACTTCTGAGCATGTGCAAATGAGCACCAGGAGGGTAGGGGCAGGACACAGTTTTGCATGATTTGGGATAGCCAGAACTCAGGAGAACCACCTCCGCCCTACCCTCTGAGCTGTGGTAAGGCGAACAATCCAGGAATAAATTATCACTCTCCTCTCCTCTCGCCCAGAAGTGTCTGGAGCCCTGCTCTTCTAAAGTAAAAGGTGAGCGCCTTCTTCCCAGGGAGACTGGGAAGGGAAGACGTTTGGCTGTCATTTATTTATTTATTTATTCATTCATTCATTCACCTCCCGTGCCAGTGTGTGTGCATGCTGAGCATACATTTGAAGGTCAGAGGACAACTAGCCAGAGATGGTTCTCTCCTATCCCGCGGGTCCCTGGGATTAGACTCAGGTCTTTAGACTTGGCAAGTGCCGTTAGCAACAGAGCCACCTCGCAGGCCCACTTTACACGGTCTTCTCCAGTATCCAGGCCCGTGGTCATGAAATGCCTCAAGGGGGTCCCCTGCTCTATACCTGCTTCCCCTTCCCTGACCCCCCATCTCTGTCCTGATCCTACCCCAGCTGTGGCCCACTCTGCCTCTGCCCACAGTTAAGAACAACATGCTTATTCCTGACTCTCAGAAGCTCTTGCGGTGTGAACTGGATTCTCTCAGGTCCCAGCTGCAGGCTCAGACTAAGGTGAGCACCCCCCCCCCCGCCACCTTCTGCACCCCTGTTGGCACCGTCCTCCCACTCCAGGGCCTCACCTCTTGCCCCTCCAGGCTTTCGAGTTCCTGAACCACTCTGTGACCATGCTGGAGAAGGAGAGCTGCCTACAACAGATCAAGATCCAGCAGCTTGAAGGTAAGGACTGGATGGAGGCCTAGCTCTGAGTAAGATTTCGGGGGAGTGAAAATGAGGTCAAAGGTCAAAACAGGGTCAGGGAAGGCTGCAGTCCAAACTAGACTCAGGCCCACATCCATTTCCCAACTTTTGGGGCTGGGCTTCCATTGGTAGAGCACTTGCCTAGCATGAATGAAGTCCTGGGTTCCAGCTTCAGCCTGGAATATAACTGGACCAGGTGATGCATGCCTGTGATCCCAGTGCTAGGGAGATAGAAGCAAGAGGAGTGTTCAAAGTTATCATCTAATTAGGGAGTTGAAAGTCAGCCTAGGCTAGAGATTCTGTCTGGAAGATAGAAGATAAAAACAAGGCCCTGGAGCTGAAGGATGCCTGTCAGTTTAGAGCACCTGCACCCACATGGTGGTTCACAACCATGAATCCTCATGCTTCCAGGGGATAGGACACCCTCTACTGGCCTCCATGGGCACCAGGCAAAACAAAAACAAAACAAAACAACAAAAACATAAAACAAAACAAAAGCCACAGCCAGGCCGGCGTCTTACACCTTTAATCCCAGCAGAGGCAGGGGATCTCTGTGAGTTCAGCCTGGTCTACAAAGTGAGTCCAGGACAGCCAAGGCTACCCAGAGAAACCTCATCTCGAAATATAATAATAATAATAATAAAGGTTAAAATGTTCCAGGGCTGGGGACATAGCTCTGTTATTAAAATGCTTGCCATTCATCTACAGAACTCAGATTTAAACAAACAAACAAACAAACAAACACCCCAAACTGGACTCAGTGGGGCACCTTTAATCCCAGCTCTGCCGGGGTGGGGATAGGAATCCTGGGCTCTCTGGCCAGCCCGGCTACCCTAACCTGCGAGCTTCGGGGTCAGGGAGAGACCCTGTCTCAAAAGATAAGGTGGATAAGAATTGAGGATGAGATGCAGTGTTGACCTTGGGCCTCCCTGCCCCTCCACACATCCGTGTGCCTGTATACCTGAGCACACACAGATGCAAACACGTGAACGTGTACATACATGAAAGACCCCCGCCCCACACAGAAATAAAACCAAGCGTGTCCCGCTCCCTCTACAGAAGCGGTGAGGCCCCTGAGCCGCCAGGGAGAGAAGGGGAGCTGTAAGTGGAGCAAGGAGCAGTGTCGGCAGCAGGAGCTGTACGGGGCCCTGGCCCAGGGCCTGCAGGGGCTGCAGAAGACAATGAAGGAAGGTGAGGAGCTGCAACAGGCCCGGACCACTCGCTGCCTGCAGCTGTTGGCCCAGGAGATCCGGGACAGGTGGGTGTGGGCAGGAGGGCAGTGTGGAGTTTTCAAGCAAGCGGGCCACCAATGAAGGAATTAAACGGAGCTGGGAGTGGAAGATTTGGGGGACACGACATTAGGAACAGGACGCTCAAAGGGGACGAGTGGCTAGAAGCTTTAGGGAGACTGCAAGCTGAAGGTGGGCTGGGGAGGAGGCAGGGGCTCAGAAGACTGAGCGAGGCGGAGAGGCTGGAGAGTGAAAATCACGAGGAGATGACACGGCTAGGAAGATCCAGGTAGGAAGAAAGTAGACTGGAAGGTGAGAGGACGAAGTCTGGGGCTGTGGGCGGAGTCTGGGACTGGGTGGAGCCTCGGGCTGAGAACTGATTCCGAGGCTGTAGGCGGAGGGTCAGGTAGTGGGGGTGGGGACAGGGGAAGGCCTCGGAGGCCTAGGGAATGGGCTAGGAATGTGGGTCTAGGCTCCTCTCTTCCCTTAGCAAGAAGTTCCTGTGGGAGGAACTGGAGCTGGTGCGGGAGGAGGTGACTTTCATCTATCAGAAGCTCCGTGAGTGCCTGGAGGCCCGCAGCCGGGAAGGGGTGGGGCTCCTTTGAGTCCCCGGTTCGCTGAGCGCTCTCCCCCAACAGAAGCCCAGGAGGATGAGATCTCAGAGAACCTCTTGCATATCCAGAAGATGCAGAAAACACAGGTGAAGTGCCGCAAGGTGAGTGGAGAAAACGAGAATACAAATCCCAGCTCTGCCACTTAATGCCGTGCTATCATGGGCCTATCGCTTTGTCTCTCTGGACCTCGATTTGCCTCTCCCTCCGTATTATGGGTGTAATACCCCCCTGATCAGAGAGGTGGTTCACTGAGGGCTCCATGCTTTCAGGACAACCTGGAAGAGAAGTTCTACTCCACGATTACTTTTTTCCATGGTTATTACTTGTGTATCTAATCTCTTGCTCCCCCAACACCCCTCCTGAACCTCAGGTGCTGACCAAGATGAAACAGCAGGTGTATGAGCCGTCTCCATGGCCAGAGAGTGAGGAGGTGCCTGCAGAAGGCAGTGGCTGCTGGAGGGAGGAGCTACAGAAGGAGCTGAGAGACATATGGTGAGGCCAGCTTTCGGGGTGACCTCTGACCCCTCACCCTCCTCTAAGCCGCCTCTCCACCCACTGTGTCTGGAAGCCACTTGGTTCTTAACCTTCCTACTTCTCCTAGGAATCACGCTCTCAGCAGCCTCCCCTGCACTAGCTTGAATTCTGGGGTACCCTGGAGACCGCAGCATCTCCTGGGGCCCCTGTCTCTGTCTCCCCACAGGTCTGCTGTCCACAGCCTGCAGAACTCTATCGACAGTCTCGCCTTGTCCATGGGTACCAGCCCCAGAGCCTCCAGCGTCAGTGGTGAGTGTACTGGGGGATCCTACCTTCAGAGGTACTTCCGAGGCTCAGATAGGCTGGCGTCTTGTTCCAGGGCCGGGCTGGGTAGCTGAGAGAGACTGGCTGAGATTTTGAAGGCCTGTAATCACAGAAATTAGGGGGAAGATGAGAGAGGCCCTCAAGGGCAAGACCAGCCTGGGCGTTTCTTACGTGAGCCACTCGAAATCACATTTAGGATCTGTGAGGTATTTTTGAGATATAATCTCACATAGCTCAGATTAACTTAAACTCACTATTTAGCCAATAATGATCCTCCTGCCTCCGCTTCTGGGATTACAGATGTGTGCTACCGTTTTTGGCTCTATGAGTTTTTTGTTTGTTTTGGTTTTTAAGATTTATCTTATGTTTGTGGGTGTTTTGCATGTATCTGTGCACGACCTGCATTGTGCTGCTTCAGAGTCCAGAAAAAGGCATCAGGTCCTCTGAAACTGGAGTTAACAGAGTATTGGGAGCCACCAGCTGTGTGCTAGGAATTGAACCTGGGTCCTGGGAGAGCAGCCAGCAGTACTTCTAACCCCTGAGCCTCCTCTCCAGACCCCTGAGGGGATCATTTAAAGGATCATTGATATAATTTGGTATTACTTTGGGTCATAAATCTCAAGGGATGCAGAGTCCAAACTCTGAGGTTGCTAGAGGGCCATGTTCAGGATCTGAAGGGCCAGGATGGCATGTCTCTCTCATAGGCCGCAAGGGACAACAGTGCATGAGTTCTCAGTGGCCCTCCTGGGACTCTGATTCTGACTGGGAGAGACCTTTCAGCAAGATTGGATCCTATGCTCCCGGTACACACCCTTCTCAACCCTTCTCCATCCCTTATCTGGCCCAGCCTGCTTGCGATTCCCACCGTGTAGGCCTCGAGGCTGACCCTCTGTCTGGTTATCTGGTCCCTGGCTGGTAACCCTGAGTTCTCCTGGTTCAAACCAGACTGTGACTACCTTCTCTCCCCACAGCTTGAGCAGCTGGGACTGCTTGCCCTGAAGACCCCTCCAGAGAGAAAATAAACTAGCTGAGACCTTCCTCCACTCTGGACTTTTGCATCTGCTGGTTCAGGAGTCTGTGGTCCTCCCCACGCCACCCCCAGATAACTCCTGGGTGTCTCAGAGGGCTCAGAGCCTCAGCACTTTTGAGGATATGTGGGTCTAGATAGGACAGTGAGACAATACTTAGGGGTGTGTTAGTTGAGCATATGATCCCAGCTCTTGGGAGGCAGGTGGGAGTAGGCATGCCAGTTCACAGTTAACAAAGCAAGTATGAAACCAGCCTGAGCTTCGGGAGACTTTTTTTCTCAGAAACACAGTGGACCAGCTAAATGGCTCTGTGGGTGCATTTGCCACCAAGTCTAAAGACCTGAGTCTGATGTCAGGGTCCTCCAACCTATAAATGCATATAAAACATTGCACACACCCCAATAAATGTAATTTTAAAGAAATTTTTTTTTCGGGGCTGGAGAGATGGCTCAGCGGATGAGAGCACTGTCTGTTCCTCCAGAGGTTCTGAGTTCAATTCCCAGCAACCACATGGTGGCTCACAACCATGCTGGGATCCGATGCCTTCTTCTGGCCTGCAGGCATACATGCAGATAGAACACTCACACATAAATAAATTTTTAAAATGAAAAAAAAAAAAAAAGTATTTTTCAAGACAGGGTTTCTCTAGCCCTGGCTGTCATGGAGCTCTATCTGTAGACCAGGCTGGCATTGGATATACAGAGATCTGCTTCTGCCTCTGCCTCCCAAGCACTGGGATTAAAGGCATGTGCCACTGCTGCCCAGCAAATAAGTGTAATTTTAAAAACACAAAATCAGGACAGTGTTTGCCTAGCATGCAGGAAGCCTTGGGTTCCAAGCCCAGGATCTTACAAACCTGATGTGGTGGAACAGGCCTGAAAATGCAGCACTCAAGGAGATGGAAGCAAGAGGATCCAGAGCTCAAGGCCAGCCTTGACTACAAAGAGGACTGAAGACCAGCTTGGGCTGCATGAGACCCTGTGTCAAACACAAAAATAGAACTGGTTGTCCAGTTAGAATCTTCCTTTCTGGATCACGATGCCCAAAGGGGGAGAGGTGTACCGCGGGGTGTCCTTCGAAGAGGCTGAGCTCCCCTCTTCCCTCAGCCTATCCTACCCAGCCCTTCCTCTATCTCCATTCTTTTCCCTTCCAGTCTCTTCCAGTCCTGCCCCGTCTCGTAGAGTTATGCAAATGACGGTTCTATAGCTCCAGCGTGACGTGCTAACAATTTCCCGCCCCACTGTGTTATGCAAATGAAGGCCCCAAGTGGCCCCGCCTGCCTGGTTCTGTAGACCCGCCCTTCTCGGGTTATGCAAATGATGCCCTGTGCCCCCCGCCCCTCTGGGTTATGCAAATAAGGAGCTCTGTGGCTCCACCCCTGCCTTGGCCACGGAGTCTGCGCGCAGCGACAAGCCCGGCGGTCCAGACTTCATCTCGTTGTCCGCCTGCCTGACCAGCCGTCTGTCTGACTGTTCTGCGGCACCGGGATCATCTAGACGGAGCGAGGGTTCAGGCGGCGGCGGCCTAGACAGGGTGAGGGAGGAGCGTGGGCGCCCATCTTCCCAGCCCGGGGGCTGCTGGATCCGGATACGCAGGTCCAGACCGGGGACATGGGTCCTTCCCATCCGTTCCCTGCGGGTCCATTGCAGGGGGTGGGGGGAAGGGGATGGCTAGGGGGAGGGGCGGCGGCGATCTCGGGCTTTAGATGGGGATGGGGGAGGGGACAACCCCCCACCCGGGGCCTCAAGAGCCTGGCCACAGTGCTGCGAGGGTGGCTGCCCCAGGTTAGTGTGTGATTGATTGTGTAACTGGTTGTGTGGCTGTCTGGCTGTGATGGGTTCGGTGGGTTCGGGTGTGTCCGCAGATGTGTGTGTGTGTGTGTGTGTGTGTGTGTGTGTGTGTGTGTGTGTGTGTG